TGATAAGCCTGGTTCTTTATTGTTGGCTGTTTCTCTCAGTGAGCTCTATTTTGTTACTGTTCAGCGGGCGAGGGGGTGGTTTTCTTTTTTTTTTTTAGTGTGCAAAACATGCGCTGGTCTAGGAGTTCGCAAACCCTGCACGAGCCAATTCGAACGATTCACGTGGACTCGTCTGAGGGACAAGAGAGGCGAGCTGGGGTGTCGTGGATCGAGTGTGCGTGTAGCGTGTCTCGTGGGAGGCGTTGTAGGATGAGACTGGGTGGGGCGCGAGTGGGAAGAGGCTACTTGCGAGGTGGCTTCTGCGAAGGCAGTTGAGCGGCGGAGTGCGGATGAGAGATAGAGTGTGAAGAGATTGTTGGAAGTGTCTGAAAGTGTGTATTTTGGTGCTCGGGTGGGTGGGGTTCTGCGTCGTCCGGTGGGTTGTATTCGGGTTTCCTTGTCGTATACCAGTGGTCCAGCTGCAGTCTAGTTCACATGGTTGTATTTATTCTAGTTTATTTAAATGAGCACCACTGTGTAGGATCTCCCTTTACTGCAGTCCACAGTGTGTGCAGATTAGCACTATCCCCCTCCCTCCTTGACTTTACCCTCCGCCTAGGCACAAAGGAAAAGTGTTGGAATGGTGGCCTGTGAAACATACAAATAAACTAGAAATCGGAAGGATGACCCTGCCTTGTGCCGGCAGGTATACTTACTGATAATACGGACACTGGACCTAATAAAGCATGGGTAAGTGAGCTAGGTCATTTTTAGAAGACGCCTTGATTATGAGAAAGAGAAGACGGCATAACTTACTCGTTTGTGTTGATTAATGGTGGGTAACAGCGTGTAAGCGAGTATAGCGATATAATCGTGTGAATCGTTTCTGGTGCGCGTCTAGATAATATAAACCAGTTAATCTGCAGCTTATCTGATACCGCCCAATGGACCACCTGATACTCCTCGCTGGTATTTAGCTGGGTTCGTTTATATGACTTGGTTATTTACTAGGTGTTTTGTTGATGCAGCTATCGTGAGGAGCGCGTCTCGGGGGATCCCGCATTGGGAGTTGCCGCTCATTTGCAGTCTCGAGTGGTCTCCCGGTTTAGATTTCCTTTCAGGTTCATCTGGTTCAGTGAGAGTTTCCTATCCGGAGTCCATCTAATTTGCCACCGGACAAGCCTGTGCTCGCTTCCTCTCCAAAACACACTTGAGGCCTGCTGATTAAGATAGCCACTAGAGACAATACGCCGCTGAATAAAGCAGTTCCAGACGCTAAGATCAGCTCGGCTCTCTCCCACGCCTGGGTTGACAGACACTTCGGGTGATAAGACTCCCAGTAGGGGCTGCGATGCCGAGCGCTTCTAACTTCTCTAGCTCAGCTTGTCTCTGATACTTAAGGGAATCCAGACGTCTGTTGGATAAAATCCTTCATCTCCGGGTTCAGAATCTAGACCTTAAAAAGCCACAAGATCTTAAAGCAGCGCGTGGCGATGGCTCAGAAAGATGTGCGTTCGAAAGCGGGCCATAAAACAGCTCGCAATGTGATGTACGCAGCTGTCCTGCCAGAGCAGACCGAGCAACGGCTGACCGAGGCACAAAGGGGGATTATGGCGCCTATAGACAGGACCGGTGAAACGCAAGCGTTACGCTGAATAAAGTGACAGTATTTCTGCTGAGTTTGAACATCGTTGGAAGCGATTGTGGTGATGAGATGGACAGTACCACAAACTCAACTACATATAGGACATAGAGCTAGAGTAGCATAGAGTTTATAGACATTTAATGCAAAAGTGTATCTTTAAATAAATAATTGAGCTGATCCTGTTTGCCTGCTGCTGTCCAACACCTGTCAGCTCATTAAGTGATGAGCAGTCTTCTTCAACAGGTCGTGATTCGTCTGTGAATATAACCTCAGGAGTCATACCAGAGTCCATTAGTTAAAGTGAGATTTTAATATGTGCTTTTGAAATGAAAGCCTGCATTTATCACTGTGACACTTTGAATCATCTTCACCATCATGCAAACTGGATTTCTCCAGCGGAAACTGTGCTGCCTCCAGCAAAATGAGTTCATATCTGGAGAGTTAATTATTGTTATTAGTTCTTTGGAGCAGAGGATGCTTATTTTCCCTTAAATTACAAAGCAAAATCAGTGGCTTTTGTGTCCCTTTAAGGCATTCACAAGGTCAAAAGTGGGCACAGAAAACAGCAGTGTTTTTGTTGTTTTTTGTTTTTTTATCTGCATGCCCTCTGGAAATCTCTGAACAAAAGCAAATCAAAATTCCAGATGTGAATGGAAACTGAAGACACAAAGCAGCAAAACATTTAAACTCAGACAAAGCCACTCTTCAAGGCATTCTAAAACAATCACCATCATTTATTTACAATATATTAAACTGTAATGCAAAATTAATAACAAGTGGTCAATTTGTTCAATAATGAAAATAAACATGAACTATTTTCAAAGCTAGCATGAATCATACACATTTATATATAAATACTGTGTGCAGTCAGCAATATTATGGCTGCTCTTCTGTTTTGTTTTTTCCTGTTGAAGCCAGACTCTTGTATCAGGGTCAATAAGGTCAAAACACATTTCCACACTTGTTGACTGCATAGAGAATAAAAATGAAGACTACAAAAAACATGTATAGTAGAATCACACCCAGCTTCTCCCACAATGAACAACATCCACAAATTTATTTCAGCCTCAAATGCCACATCAAGCTCTTCTGGACTTTAAATGGCTTTCAATAATATCTCGATGCTACTCAGTAAATACCAGATTACCAAAGGGTGTGATGTGACACTTAACAATGAAAATGCAGGTTCCTATTTTCTTTCTCTTTACATGATTTCACAGTTTTTGTTAATACAGACTGTAGTGTGTCCAGTTAATGAAGTTAAAGTACACAATGAGGCTTAAAAGAAGGCTGGTGATATTCTAGATTTTTCTTTTTTCATTAAAATCTGAGAATCCAAAGGAATATACATTTCTTTTTTCAATGGAATTATGGGACATGGGAAAAAATGTAATATTCAAGATGTAATAATGTGTTTGATTTATAAATTCTCAGCATATAAGTGAAACAGGATGTCTTATCTGTAAGCTAGGCTAATGTTCTTTCCGCTAGCTCTAATGTTATTTTTGCTAGTGCTTTCTTTTTGCTAGCACTAATGTTATTTTTGCTAGAGCTAATGTTCTTTTTGCTAGTGCTAAATTTCTCTGCACTACGGCTAATGGTCTTTTTACTTTAGCTTATGTTCTTTTCGCTGACACAGAAGCTCTTTTTGGCGCTTTAGTGCTTTGTTTTCGCAACACGGAAAAAAACAGCTAGCCATTATGAACGAATAGTCATGACACCAAGCCATTTGGATTTGACACCATGGATGTAAAAATCATGGATAGGCTGTTTTCTGACTTTGTAAAGTAAAACTATGTAATCGTAAAGTTAGCTCGTCATTTAAGTGAGGCAGCAGAGGCACAGTGAATGAACTGAACCACGTTAATTGTACGACACATTCAAAGATAGGCTGTGTGTGTTGAGTTTAGATAACTCGAATAAATTATGTATCGGTTTAAATTTCTTTGAGTGAGATTTTTTTTTTAATTGACAGTCCTATTAGCGTGGTTAAAAGCAAACCAAAAAACAACAACTTGATAAATGGACCAATATTTTGTAACACACACTACACAAAGCTCCCAAAGGTCCAGAAAACACAATGTTGGTTTTGGTCTATAAAATATAGAATACCACCAGCTTTTTCCTTTAACATGCTGGTTGTGGATACCGTATGTTCAGAGGTTTTTGTGATGAAGCAACAAATAACTGGTACCCAAAGTCTAGTACATTACCTTTGAAAAAATAAAGCACAACAAACTTATCACAAAACACAGACGGCATGTGAACGACAACCACAAGGACAAAGCCAGAGTCTTTTCAGCACTAGAGAATTCTGGCAAGTATTTAGTCAAATCAAATAAAAATAAAAATAAGACAAGGCATTTTACAGAGGTAAGTTTAGACCTCGTGGAAATTCATTTGCTTGACGGCGCTCCTCTGCAACAACAAATCTGTCAAACATAATAAAGAATAAATTCAAATTGAGAAAAAATGTTTCACTTTCATAGTGGAACAGTTACTGATGCAATCCTCTTCCCCTGTAAGAAGAGATAATTTGCTAGCAAAAGGCAGAAAAAAAAAGCAAGCAGATGATGATGAGTCTTCAGTGTACAGTGCAGCAGTTCATGAAACACCACAGCTGCAGAGGAGCCAGCTGCAGAGGAGTCCACTTCAAATGGCACTTGTTCCGAACAGGAAAAGAGGAAGAAAAGGCTGGGACTTCTCCCAGGACTCAGCATCAATTGGCAATAAGTAAAACGGTGTGCACACATACTTGAACAAAGGCTTTTTGGCAATACATTGTACTATGGCAATACATATTATTGTGGTGTACTATATGTAAAGAAGAGAGGAGGAGTGACGGAGACAAAGAGTGAGAAAGAAAGAATCTATTATCACTGCAACCTCAAGTTCTTTGGCTCAGTTACAACCGTGATGATGGGAGTTAAACAGGATGGCTGCTCAAGCCAAGCAACTACTGCTTGCATGCAACCAGCAGAGTGGAGTTGTGATAACGGAGCTGCTGTGTGTGCAGTGAGGTTAGACCAATGAGCGCCAAGTCAAACACACCATGTGGTTTGTTTGGATCTCCCATAGGGATGTCAGACTGAGTGTTAAGAACATCTACAGTATTTGAATGTCTGGGTTTTCCTGCAGGGTTGTGAGTATGGTTGTGTTAAGCTGACCACGCTTCGGGGTCAACTTTGCATGCAAGGCTGTCACAGTTGAACGAGGGTGCGTCTGAGATGGTGAATGCTAATGGCAAGGATTACGATGTTGTCTCATAAGGCCGCTCCTCGCCACCATCGTCGTCTTTCATGTGGCTGCTATGTCTGTATCTGGAGTAGTAAGAGCCCTGGGTCGCCCCGCCTTCTTTTTCTTTTTCCTCCTCTTCTTCATCAGATCTGTCGAAGCAGTAGCGTCTTCGGCCAGGGGGGCTGGAGCGGGAAAGAAAAAGCAAAAGCTGATATTATTATCAAAAAAGTGAGCAGGGAATAATACGGCATCTAAGAGAGCTCAAGGCCTGTAAAACCAATACAAGAAAAATTCTGAAATCATCTTCCTCCCTGAGACAACACATACGTTGCATTAAGAAGAAAAAAAATGTATCTCATAAAAATTGTTACATAGTAACAATGTACATAGTGGTCCTGGATCGGAGCAAACAAGGAACATAAGAACATACTGCAAATATATAAAATACAAACAAATACATAAACACTGCAAGTCGTAAACAACAGAAGTTTCCAGGGGACACTGAAAGTATGCCTATGCGATATTCTGAATCAAACAACTTGTTAATTGAAGGTCCAGTGTGTAGGATTTAGTGGCATCTCGCTGTGTAATTGTAGATTGCAACTCCCCCGTATAATCTAAAGGAGAAACTACACAAATGACTACGGTGGACACAAAATGTGTGAAAAAAGCAAACGGTCCTATGAAGAGCCAGTGTTTGGTTTGTCCCTTCTGGGCTACTGCAGAAACATGGCAGTTCAACATGGCGGATTCCGCAGAGGAGGACCCACACCCTCTGTAGATAAAAACAGCTCATTCTAAGATAACAAAAACACAACGATTCTTATTACACAATGAAAGCCCACCTATGAATATTATATTCCATTTATACCAATAGATCATCTTAAAATGTTACACACTGGACCTTTAAATTGAAGATGAGCTAATGTTAGTTTTAAGACTCATATTGTGTGAGTCTGATGTTATTGGAGATATTAGCACACCTAGCTTTAGCCTTTTACTATCTACAGTACCAGCCAAACGGCTTCCTGCCAGATGTCCATTCAGAGCATGGACCAGCCGGCAATTCTAGCTGGTTGTATCTGTTCTAGTTGATCTGTTTTTAGTATCAACAAGTCTTCTGTTGTGTTGTATATCATTTCCACTACTTGCACTTGTGTTTTATAGATTTGCAGTTTTTTCTTAATTTGCTTGTGTTTTATCTATTAGCTTTTGTTTGTCACTATGTTGAGCTCTCTTCACCACAGATTAGCTGTACAATAGCTGTGTCGTAAGGTTAGCTTTTTCTCTAGCATCTGGTGGGCACAAAATCTCATGCAATATGGTGCCACATGCAAAACTGTTATTGTGGTTACTAAGGCACTGTGCTATTCAGATAACAAATACAAAACATTGTGACGGACGTGATTCCATCCCCTCAAAATGTTAGAATTGTGAATTAGTACAAATAAAAAAATCACGAGTTAAGTCTACTGAAAAAATGAAATTATTATCAATATCTAAACATGATTCAAGTCATCTTTTTTTTAACATCATCTGAAATTTCACTACGAAAGAAAAATCCAATCCCATCACCAGTCTGCATGGAGTTTAGCCCAGCCTTTTCACATTATCAAACTGCTTTAATATTGCAAACTGGGGGTTAATTACTGTCAACTGTGCATCTCAAATGAATTTGCTAGTTGGTGTAAATCAATGCTCAGGGTCTAATTATGCCTGGAGTTATGGGGCTGGAGGGAAAAATGTATTATGGCCTCTCTTAATTGACTCCCGTTATTTTTACCTTTCTGGGGCCATAAATCAATATGACATCTCGGGAGTAATTAAAGGCTGAGTTAACATCCACGTTGAGTGTGCCATCTCACCAACTACACTTCCCTCAAAATGAACCAAAGCTCCCAAAAAGTCCTCAATGAAAGCCTTAAAAGGGTTAGTTTGACAACCCCACTTCAATATATCCAAACTAACCCTTTAACAAGAAAGCTGCAAAGGATGTGGTGACTACTGTTTGGCTGGAAACTGAGAAGGTGTAGGAGTAAACAAAAATGGTTAGCATGCTGACAATGACACATCATCAAAAACGCAAATTATAAACATAAACTCTAATCCCAATCAGACTGAACGGTCTGAATTGATAACAGTGAGAATGTTTTTGATTAGTTAGGTCACATCATGCGTCAAAAACACTCCTCAAGGTAACTCCAGGGAACCACCTACTGCCTTCCTCAGTCACTGTCCGGCCGGTACAGGTACTTCATCATCAGGCTGTCCACCTTCTTCTTCCTCTTCTTATCATCCTTTTTGTTAAGGGGCTGGCTTTCACTCTGTGGTTGAGCCTCTACTTCTCCTTCCGGGCTGGACACCTTTCGAACCGGGGCCCTCTTCACACTGCTGGAACTTCGGTAGGAAATGGTGGAGGCACCGGAGCTTGACTCTGACCCAGAATCCGAGTCAGAATCTGAAGAAGATGACAAGGAAGAAGAGGAAGAAGATTCATCCCTCTTTTTGGACTTTTTCTTGGACTTCTTGGACTTCCTCTTGGAGCTGCTCCTATGACGATGGTTGTCTCCTGAGCTGTCAGACTCTGAGCTGTGGCCTCTTTTCTTTTTCTTGCTCTTGCTTCTGCTCTTGCTTCTGCTGTTGCTTCTGCTGTTGCTTCGATGGCGACTGCTGCAGCTGCTGGCACTGCGGGATGCTCTCATGCAGTCTACAGCGGATGCAGAGCGTCTTAGACTGCTGGCGGGGCGGTTACTGTCTTGATTATGTATGCCTTTGCTATCATCTTCATGATTTTTAAATTTTTCTTCTTCATCTTCAGAGTCTTCCAAGCTCCTGCGTTTAAATTTGATAGGCTTGAAACTCAGCACCTCATTGATGGCTTTCTCTAGGTCAGGGTCGAGGTAGTTGCGATGACTGACTGTTTTGATATCCAAGTTATCAATGGGGTCATCATCAGCAGTTGATGATCTGGCTTGTGGTGGTGGCATGGAGATACTGCGGCCAGTGGTCGAGTGAGGACTGTATGCTGACCTCTCGGTGAAGGCAACACTTCGACTATCATCAGCATCAACACCAAACTCACTCAGGCGGCAGCTGCGTGACAGCGATATGTGAGAATCAGCTTGGCTAACACTTCCAGGACTGCGACCCCCAGACCGTCTTCTGAAGCAAGGGCTACTGGGACTACTTCCATAGAGTGGACGCCCACCTCTGCCCTCATCTAAGCGTGAGATGCTTTGGCGGCGTCCAAGTGGAGTTGACATACCTAAGTTGATGGTTGACTTGGTATCATTCTCTGGGCTTAACCCAAGACGTGTGGAGGCCCGACTTGGTGCAGTGAATGAAATGGTTGATTCTTTATCAAAGTCACCCCAGCGGCTGTCCATGCCTTTCCTGGCTCGGCTATTGGCCTCTGAATAGGCCTGGGAGATGACTGACTCTCTGTCATTCACGTCATCCCCTGCCTGGGATTTCCTCCTGGAGCTTACTGAGTAGGTATCATCCTGAAGATCAGAGGTTTTTGGTTTAGCCTTATGGAAGGATATAGCGTCTTCTGACTTTGCATTCTCCTTGAGGGCACTGAGGAGGGCATCCCCTTTGCCACCGATGGAATCAAGGTTTGAACGTTTTCTGTAGCTGAGGGAGCTCATCACTGACATTGGCCTGCTCGACTCTACCTCTTTGCTCTCTTTATTTACCTCTTTCCATTCCTTACCTTCCTTCCACTCTTTCCCTTCCTTTGCGTCTACATTTACAGCAAATCTAAAAAAACAACAACAATGGAAAGGATGAAGGAAGGAAGACAGTGGGAGAGAAAATGACAAAGATGAGATGTTGGGTTAAGTAGAGGTGAGTGAAGGAAGAGAATCAGGGAAAAAATTAATCAAACTTGACAAATCAGAAAAACAGAAATGTGATGAGAAAAGTAAGAGCTGAAATTTAGGAAAATGAGAGACAACTGACTGAGGACTAACAAGGGCTTTTCCTGCATTGAACTATCAAGACAGACACGGTATTTAAATGTCCACCAAGGAAATATGAAGGGCGATGGAAATGGAAATGTTTTGACCAGTGTAGCATTATGTTCAGATAATAATGTTGCAACAAAACACAACAAAACTAAGTATAAAAAAGAATGGAATTTGAAAAGAAAGAATCCATCGAGCTTAAATGAAAACAACCAATAAGAGTCAAAATAAATTGAATTGAACTATCTGTCTCAGCTCTGTTGATATTTTTGTTCTTTCTTGCAAATTACATTAGGAGCACTAGGAGAAGCCAGAGAAATCTGATGTTTTTCACTGATTATCTGTCTCATGTACTACTGTCAGGATATAGTGTAAGTTTCAACAAGTATGACAAAAAGTTATTTTTATAAAAGTTAAACCTTGAAATAATATGCCTGTCCCTTTTTACCCCTGACCTGGGCAAGAATTACAATGTACTTGTACTTGTGTACGTGTGCAATTGGCAATTAAAGTGACTTAAAAACTAAAAAGTCTATGGGGACATGATGCTAAGAGAGATTTAAAAACTCCCAAAGTTTTTAAAGTTGGGAGTGGCTCAGGTAAGGGAGGGAAGTTAAATCTTCTGGTAAGGAGACAAATCTGGGGCAATCGAAGCTGTCAGCTTGCAGACACATTCATTTATCTCAGCGAGCGGCTCAGGTAGACTATGCCAGCTGGCCACTGGGCTTGTCGATAAATCTAGCATGGAGGTGGTTTGTTTTTTGAAAAAAAAAAAAAAAAAAAAAATTCCCTCTTCACCAAGTGGATGACAATAAAGACAAAGCAGCTTGAAAATAGGTTTAAGTAATAGCAATCCCCTCATTTCAGGCAAGTAACCTGCTCCGCTTTATTTCCCCTAGGTCAGATCATGTAAACAACTTCATCAAGACAGGCCAAAAGCAGTCAAATGTCTAGGTTCTCACTAACTGCTGCTGTTACATTCACTTCAGCCTTTGTACTGACCTGGAGCTCTTGAGGCTGCCGTCATCTGAGAGGTTCTTGGCAGAACCTTTGCTTTTGGACAACCAGGACTTCACCCCATCCACACGATCCTCCACCTCAGAGTCTGTGTCTGAATCCCCCTGACTGGTAAGAAGTCAGAGACAGGAAAACAAGTCAGAGGGAGCAAAGGAGAGATGAGATGGCAAAGGAGGTTATGAGCGGATAAGAGAGTAAAAGAGAGAGGAGACAATCATGTAAAATAAATGTTAGTGTGAAAGGAGAGTCAACACTGGTAGAAATACCCTTGTAATTCTCTGTAGCTGTTGAACCATTGAACGAAGAACAGGCTGTAAGTGTTAATGTGGAAGCAAAGCGGGATTGTGGCATTTATTCTGGATGAAAGGCAGCACATGCAGTCAGCTCTGAGAGCCCCTGTAAACACACAGACATGCCCACAAGAGGTTGTATAGAAGAAAACGTCACACAGCAACATCTCACAGTCGTCACTGTTAGGTGAGTGCTATCATGGTCCAGCAGTTAGGTGGAACAGTGGCAACCAACAAACATTCTACCTTTACTCCTTCAAAGTGACTTCAGAGCTCAAGTAGCACCATGACAGGAACAAAACCCAATGATCAATCTTAAATTATATGAACTCGTTTTTTTACAATCTTGCTTTTATTTCACAGTTCTGGTTATCATCCCTGTAAGTTATGGGGAAATTTTATACACCAAATTTATTGCTGAGATCTGCTAGACACATTTTAATCATTACAGAGCAACCAAACCCCCAGGCTGACTGGTTTCAAAGTTCACAGTTTCACGTTGTTATCTAAACTACTTATTTGAAAGAGAATGTGAATTGTGGCTTAGGTAATAACTTCACTTTCAAATGAGTGCTTTGAGGATTTGGTAACTGACGATGTGTTCCAAATCTGCCAGGCTGTCTGATAACTCATGTTACTATAAAGGGATAGTACAACGATTTAGTACCGCAATTCCACAACTGACACCTCCTAAGTCCCACCCCTTTATGATCTGTGCTCCAATAACAGTTGAGCAAACCTCACTCACTTTATTCCTTTCCTGTACTTAGATATGCTATGTGGTAGGCTAATCTATGTAAAAAACACAAACACAATTTGAAGATGGTTAAAAGATAAATATCTATCTCTCTCTTCTCTCTCTATAAATATATATATACATAAAATCACATGTTAATTTAGCTATGTAGCGTGAGCAAACACTAGCTAACTAATGAACTACATCAATTATGAGTTATCTAGCAAGTTAACATGTGACTATATCTAGCTTTTACCTTTTAACCATCTTCAAAATGTGGTTGTCTTTTCAACACAAGAGGGCCTAGCACATAGCATATCTGAGTACAGGAAAGGAGAAATTACATTGTTGGTACTGTAGGCTCCAGGTTTGACAAGAAGGAAGAACTCTTGAAATAAAAAAGATGATACATTTCTGGTCCTGGATCTTTTTAAACTTTGCATCATGAGTCCAAAAATGTTAATGCAATGCTAAGTCGGTGGAGTCCTCTTTAAGCACAGGTATTTCAGAGCCACGGAAGACATTGTGCAACTAGAACTTGTACACCTAATATAGTGGCATTCCAAAAACACAAATAAATCTCAAAACTGTGTCGTGTTTTACAATTTGAATTTCCTGCTGATACATTTCAACAACAAAAAAATCCTCAGTTTTTATGTTGTTTTTTAAGCTTGAGGGTCCCCTCAAGCTTACCTTGTACTTGGAGTATGTTTTGGTTCACAAGTCAGTATTATTTAGGGCCTTTCAGTTTTCAAGTTGCTTGCCCACATTTCAACTCAATTCAATTCAGAAATGTGATTTTGATTTGGTGTAACTGTGCAATCTTAGTTTGGGGATACTACTACAGTGGTGTCCTGATGATGTCTGCTGAAATGCATTAGCACAAAATAATAACATGGTCAAGTGAGGTCATGGTATTGAGATTTCTTCTGTTATTGGAGTACCAGTATCTCAGTTATTCTAACTTTGTCAGAGCAACCAATTCATTTACCTAGGGACACGTGGCTTGCAGTGAAAATTGCACTGTAATTTATGTGTGTAGCAAACTGACAGTAGATATCTCTGTATCAGATGGCTATTTTATTTCATACTTTTCAATATTTTCATAAGTTTAAGTCTAAACAACCTTCATCTAGATATGCCAGACCTTCACCATATTAAACGTAAGGGGGAAAATATTTACTTCTTTAGGGTTCAACAGGTTAAATTTAAGACTTTTTAAGACCATTATGTATGCAATTTAAGACCTATTTTACGTCCATACTGTCGAAGAAAAAGTAAGATGGATATGAAGGAAAATCGGTATTGATTCCATGTTAGTTTTGTTTTGTAGTTCTTACAGTATGATCAATACACATTTTTCCCAAAATGCATTTAAAAGCAAGAAAATGCAACTTTATGCAAGTAATGTTAACTTTAGAATCCAATCAATTTCTAAGATCTGTCAAAACCATATTAAAGACATTTTATGGATCCAGTGTGTAACATTTAGGATCTAATGGCAGAAATGGATATAAATATTTATAACTATGTTTTCATTGAGTGTATAATCACCTGAATAATAAGAATGTGTTTTTGTTACCTTAGATAGGCTGTTTATTTATCTACAGGGAGGGAAACGGGTCCTCTTCCTTCGTACGGAGTCCGCCATTTTGAATCACCATGTTTCTACAGTAGACAAACCAAACACGCATGATTTTTGCGTGTTTCGCGGCCACTGTAGTTTCTCCTTCGCGGGTCGGAAAGGGAGGGAGAAATGAGTGAGCAACTATACTGCTAGATTCTCTCTCTCTCTCTCTCTCTCTCATGGTGGTACTGTTGGGTCTCTGTAAATGTTATAAGGAGTTCGGTCTAGACCTGCTCTATTTGAAAAGTGTCCTGAGATAACTTCTGTTATGAATTGGCGCTATACAAATAAAATTGAATT